ACACACACACAGAGAGAGAGAGAGAGAGAGAGAGAGAGAGAGAGAGAGAGAGACAAGGCACCCATACAGAGGGAAAGTGCTCTGATTAATATTGCAGTAAATTAAAGCTGATTTTTCTGGACTGTTTCTAGCCTCCATTTTTTTCTACCTTTCTCACCCATTTGCCTCCTTTTTTCGAGGCTAACAGCCCCCTCCACCCCCCACCTTTTAATACTCTCCCTGACGCTCTTTGTGATTGCAAGTCATTTCCAATTCGTTTTGGTATTGATCTTCCAGTAGAAATCAGTTTTGTAATTAGCTGCAAATTAGGCCTTCTTCTGGAGGTGAGGCCTGTCCCACTGATTTATCACCTGCGTAATTCGCCCCGATTGGAGAGGAATTAAAATGAACTCAATTAGGTGACTGCTTTTGCTTTATGGGTCTAACTTGTAGTTTGGTGCGAGAAATTAATAGTCTCTTGTTGTTTAATAGTATAATGAAAGTACTGTAAATAAAGGTTATTCATTGTAATAAGCCCAGAGCCTTTATTAAAAGGTGCTTTTTGTTGTTGTCAGGGTGGTGTTGTTTTCTGAATGCATCTTAATCTACAGTGAGCATTGTTTACTATCATGACTCGGGATCGATGGAGGCTTTTTTGCACAGTTTTCGTCACAGATGACACAAAAACGGGAGAAAAATAAAGGCAAATTTTATGACCTTTTCTCTATAAATAAAAACGTGTGGCAAAAGTGTAAAATAAACAAGAAAAGAAAAGAAACAGCAGGTGAAAAACATCACAAAAAAGACTAAAATCTAGATATTGATTAATTTTATGTTGCTTTACTGTTTTTCTCAATTACAGCAGGTACAAGGAATGTGTTTTTCATTAGAAAATCAATAATGTGTGGGAGTTTTTCTTGCGATCCCTCCAGTATTCTGCAGGCGCTGACAGTAGCCCACTGTTAGGACCTTTGTTTAATTAGCCTTTGCTGCTGAAGATGGTCTGGGATTATTTCTGCATGTTCCTGTTCAGTTTTGACAAAAGAGAAACGGAGTTTGAAGAACCACTGACCTGCTCCGGTTTGATGTGTTCCGATGTGGGGAAGACGTCGGGGTACGAAGGGCGCTCAAAGACCCGGTCCAAAGCTTCCAGCTGCTGCTGTGTAAAGGCGTCTGCCCTCAGGTGTTTCCGTAAACTCTCCACGCTACCCTGAGAATCACTGTTTGGGCCAGAACCATCTGAACCATCTACAAGAAGAAAGAGCAACATTCGAGACACTGACCCCGGGAAGCTGGCCTTCACTTCAACCTACGCACTTTATATTCCCCTCATAGGTTCTGAGATCAGAATTCGTTTTGTTTTTTTTCACCATAATGGCTGAAGTGAGCCACTGGCTACCTCAAACATGGTTTTCCATGCTCAGAATTAGTGCCATCATGATCTAAAAGCCCTCTGGTAATTGATGGATTACAGTCACTTGCAAAGATATACATGTCACAGAAAAAGAGAATGTAATAAATGCAGCAAAAAGCCCATTATAGTGGTTTTTTCATTCCAGACAGAGATTTTTTCCCCCCTTTCTTTTTCTTCTCCCCGAAAAGCCCGATGCTCACTGGAACCAAGTGCTTTTTAAAGCACAATTTCCCTTTTTACAATTCAATATGGCCTTTATTCTCTTCGAGCGTGTGGTTCCATTTGGTAGCAGCGGCAGAGGACAAGATGCTGAATAAAATTGTATCGTCTAGTTCAATCATCCCGCGCTCCAAACACAGGAATTCTCTCCCCACTCCTGACCCGATTACCTGACTGTTGGGAGGAGGATGCCTTCGCTTTTCCCGCTGCGTGCGAGGCTTTAAAACCTTTACAGACCCATCCCTCCATCGCTCCCCACACACACACACCTATCATGGCTGCAGTGTCTGCAGGTCTCCTCCCAGCATCCCAGAAAGCTTCAGCTCCCTTACAAATCTGTCATTCTAAATTTGAGGCTGATTATGTTCTTCCCTCTGAGGGAGAGTGGTGATGTATGATATGCAAGGCCCGCTATTGATTGCCTGATCTGGTGGCAAGGGGGAGCTGAAATGAACTTGAAATGAACATCATGCCTCAACTCATTGTGCGTATAATACTCTACTTAATCCCACATTTTTCTCTGCCATAGAATTCAATTGATCAATCATGTCTGTGTGATGGGACCATTTGGGAGGGTTAGAACCGGGCTATTCTGCTGCTTAACCTTTTTTTTTTATTCGCTGAGGCCAGAGGATGAAGCAAACTGTCCGAGGGAGCTCAAAAACAGAATGTGAGAACTAGGTGTGTATTTCTGAGCATAAATGAGTGGAATGTGCTGATAGTTGTAAAATAAGGAAGTTCTGAGTTTTCTAGGAACAAAAATAAAATTTTACTTTATTTTTTTTTACCGTTCAAAGAAATGCATTGGACTGTTTTAAACAATGTTTACATTTGTTTAAGGTCATTTTTGCCATGATATCATTTTGCCATAAAGATTTTAAAAAAGCAACACAAATCAAATTAAAGAAATTGTATTCATTTCAGATTTAAGGCCAAATATGTTGATCTAAAATGTTGAAACTGCAGACAAGTGGAAGGAGCTTGTCTCCATTTCTGTAAGTGCTTGAATGATGATTTTTTTGGTACATTATAGTGAAAAAAATAAACAAGTAAACTGTTTAGCATTTTAGTAAAGTAACTATGATGGCAGAAGAGGAAGAAATGTGGCAATGTGTTGTGAAGTAACAACCTCTAAACAAGCATAAGTGTTTGTCTTGAAGAGTTTAAAATACAAAAACGAAAAGAATTAAAGAAACGCTCATTGTGTTAACAGTTTCTTAATTGCCGTTTCCTAAATGACAGGAATTTATATTCCCAACATTTTGAATAACATTATTGCTGTTTCTCAAAACATCTGACACATACGTTTCTCTGAAATTTCTACTTTTTTAATTTTTATATAGCTGTAATCCCAGTGTTGCTAACAAAAGTGTTTTATGTTTCCAGGAATTATTATGACATCAGCACATATAACACTTCTAACAAGAATATTCCTAAGGTAGATTCTCAGTCTTTTAGGACATAAAGCTGGATTAAAGGTGACTCACAAGAAACTAAGTACAGTAGCTGTTTATAAATTTTAAATTTAGCATATTTCAATTTGAAATCAATCTTCTCAAATGAGACTTAAACATTTTTAGTCAACTTCAATTTAATGTCAGGTTGTTTTTTCTTAGTATTTCTTATCTGTACTCTTATTATTTCATAATAATTGTATAATAATTTCTGCTCACCTGTCAGGAAATATTCCTGGATAGATAAATATCCTAAATCGGACAGTCTGCCCTTTCTTTTATCTTAGATTGATGTTTTATATCCAAGATTCCTTTAAAATAAACAGAAGAAACTATTTCATCATGCACAGTAGTTTTCAGGTCTTTGCTTAGCTCAATGTGAGATCATTGTTTTATGTACTTTCTTTATTACTTAATGTTTGTTGGCTTCAGTAAAAACAAAAAAGATTTGTGGCAAAAAAAATACAACTTTTCTGAATCTCTACATATTTTAACAAACACGTATAAAACGGAAAACGCTCTTTAATTAAGTTCAAATATTTTTTGTATATGAAGATTTATATTCTACAATTAAAGTGAGTGAATAGAAAGGGGAAAAACATACAAGAGTTTGAGAGAAAAATTGTAAACAAAGCTCGTCAATCGGGTTAGAATTTCTGTTTCTTCAAATTAAGGTTGTTTAAAAAAACTATCTACAACAGGTAAGATGTTCTTTGTTCTAAACCTTTTCACACAATTCTCCCATGATCTGAAGTACCTCTACATTGTGAAAAGGAAAATATTTGCTTCTAATGTGTTGAATGTTGAAGAAACAGACAGTTGTGACTTTTCCTGGGATAAGATCTGTGAATATTCAGCATAATTTCTGCAGAGCTAGATACAATCTTCTTACCTACAACTGCTGCTGCTGTGTGTCACTTCATCAAACTCAATTGTTCTCTTTGCTACCGAAGCAAATAGAGTCATTAATTACTCTCCATCAGCTAGCCTGAGCCACAGCACCTGATCAATACCCCCCACACCATATTTGTCATTCACCACTGTGGAATACACTTCCCACACACAAGACAAACCATCCTGGGTCAAACTGCACACTCTTCCTCCCACTCAAACAGAAGACAGTCCTATCTGCCCTCCCCACTTCTGACAAAGCTGCGGTGATTAAAGACAACTCAAAGGTCATTTGGATCACGAAAGAAGCCATAGAAAAGTATGATTTATCCCGGATATGTCAAGTTTATGCATCTTTATATAATTTTGGGACTGTGCTCATGAGAAAAACAATGTGTTCAGTGTATAAAACTTCAGTTTACTATTAAGACACACATTTTTAACCCTTGAGCATCAGAAGGACAAGCTTAATGGAGTTTGCTTTTAAATCCTTCTTTTTCGCGTTTATGTATTTCAGTTGGGGTCCATATAAAGTGGAAGTGCAATGCTTTGGTCTGAATTCCTCCTTATTGTAACTCCGCAAGCCCCTCTTTCACCCCTTTCCTGAGGTGTGTCTCAGATAAACTCGTTTTGAGGCTGTCTCTTTAAATCCAAACAAGGTGCTTCACCCCCGCCTGCGGCTCCCATCCAGCCTTACATGTTGGAGCCAGAGTCTGACTCAGAGGAGAATAGAGTTGACCAACTTTTAGTTGGTAAATTCAGACCTTATTTAGAAATGCCTTCACAAACACTGTGACCTAATACTGCAGGAAACGGAACAGGTTGAAAAACATGATCCAGATTGAATATAAAGATATGGATGCAGCACCGGGAGAAACTGAATTCAACTTTTCTGCTCACCCAGAGACTCCAAGTACACAACAAAATGCATAAAACAGCTAAAAAACTGGATTTTGCATGATATGTCCCATTTAAATAGAACTTAGCCATAAAAGTAAATAATCCTCCCAAATAATATCCATTTAAAAAAATTATTCAGGTCTATTAAAAGTGAAATGAGTTAATTTTTTTCAGCCTGAGCTTAAAACTACAGTTTAATATATTATAAGCCTCTGACCTATCACTGCATTGCTTATTAACCACCAGATAAACTTATTTATCAAACTTTAATCAAACTTGTCTGTGTTTTTGAACGTTATTGCCCCCCGTTTGTTTCTTCACATGCTGTAGTTAGATGTTTATATAAAAACGGAGGTTTTAATAAGACTTAGAGAATGACTTTCGTGCTCGTAAGAGCTCTGTAAGCACTTATCTCCGCTATAGGAAGTCAAACCCAATATTTGAACAGACCCAAACGAGCCCATTATGTTGCAGCGATAAGCATCTCGGGCTTTGTGAGCGTGCTCCATGCCTGTCTCTCTCTGTCTTCATTTATTGATCCTCGCTGGCGCTGATAGCATTCATTTTGACATCAGTCTGTATTAACACTCTGGTAACGAGGGAGCAGCCTCTTTCAAGATCAGATAGCCAGCTCCACAAAGCGGACTCCTCTCTGCGGGCTTGGCACCCGCAGGTCTCGACCCCCGGCGGGAGGCTCCAGCAAACACATCCATGAGGTCTGCGCTGCCCTCCAAAACACAAACCGAACAATTGTCGCGAAAGAGGCACAGACTCGGCGGCACTTTTCTCTGGACGCCACTTTTCAAACAGCCGGTTGGTGCGAATGCTAAAAATTAAATAAAAAATCCGGTTTTAGGTTCTTATTCGACGTCTGTGGAGCTGAGCCAGCACCTCCAGCTCACCACTAAAGAACTTTATCCCCAACTTTTTTTGCTCCCACCCAGTCAGCTGTTTGTTTAAACAACATGTCAACATACATCCACTCTCCTAAACTTAACACGCCATTCGGCGTTTCACAATAATGCACCTCCATAATTTCCCGCCTGATTCAATTCTCGGCTAAATGGAATCAAATTAAAACTCATTTGCATCCATTTGGATGAACTCAGCTGCATTTTGCTTTTCTAATTGAATGTTTTGATTATGTAAACATGAATGAAATACTGTCCCTGGAATGTAAAATGTTTGTTCTGCGTCACCAAGGATCTCTCGTTTGTGTTTTCTAGGAATCTGCTAAATAGTTTGATGGAAAATCAGTTAAAAAGATGAAAATTAGCAGGTATTCTCTGTTATAAATTGCTATAAACTGAAGATCTGTAAACATTTAAGGGATTAAATGCAGCTGATTACTTGGGGAAAACTGAGGTTCCTCCCTGAATTCAGACAATTTAGAAGATGTTACCATCGGCTAGTGCTAATTTGCTCTGATGTTCCGTAGCTTTTAAAGGCTTTATTAATCTAATTTGGTTTGTTGCATTTAGATGCTGACATTTTCCTGCACTCTGAGTTCCTCTGTTCTTCCTCTCCGCACCCCACCAAACAGATGCTGGTACACAGCGCAGGGTGTGACGTGGCCCGCTCCATCACTCATCCCCATCAGTTCAGTCCTCATGACACTCAGAGATGAGAAATAATTAATTCAACAGTTACTGAAGCACAGAATCACATCCATTCTGGCTGCCACTGGCTATTGTTGTTGGCTTTTCAAATATATGATGATGATCTTATCGTGGAATTTCTCTCTTTGTGTTTCTCTCTTATAAATTAAAACGAAAAGCCCCTAAAAAAAGGGGCAGGAAAGCGTTCGGCATGGCTGAAACCAAGAATCCTGCTGGTCTGATTGGGCAGTTTGTGATAGCCCTGAAAGGAGCATCGTGGGTTTTATCAACAGAACTGACTCCACACCTTCGCAATAAAGAATGTGGATGAAATAATTTGTAGCCAAATATCCAGATGTTGATTTTCTTTTTGTGTGTCTGTGTGCGTGCGTTCTTTATCCAGAGGCTTTTCTTTTGTCTTTTCGAGTCAGGAGAGGTGGGGCGGGTGGCGGGGTGCAGCAGGGGTGAGGCGGCCCGGCGAGCTGCTCGGATGTTAATCTGTGAGGTAATAGCTTTTCTCGGCAGAATTGCAAATTCTAATATGTGTCAATTTGTACAGCTGTGGTCACCAAAGGCACCATCTCCAGAGGTCTCGCCCGCGCTCCCACTCTCTGTCCATCCGCAACAATAGCTGCCAACTGTAACATGGTACTTTTAATTTGCAATAACACGTGACAATAGTAGATTAATGGCTCTTATGACACCTGTGTCCCTGAAGCTTCTCTTGCCGAGACCCAGTGTACATAACGTGTGTCACACTACATTATCTCTACATCCCTCTTGTAATGGTGGGTGTGGGGGGGGGGGGGGGCTGTTTTAAGGGCACTGCTGACTTGGAAACTGTGGAGCTGCTTGGCAGAGAGCCACAGCCTAAAACAAATACACTGAGCTGCACAGCCAATCCATTTCAGCGGAGCTTGTGTTGCACTCCCCTCCCTGTCCCTTTCCCCCTCCTTTCCTTTCCCTCATTTTTTGTTCATGTTTCCATCCTTTGATAATGACTGCTTGTGCCATAATAATCATGAGGCTTACCAACTTAAATAGGGCTCAGGGAAGCTACTGTGCTGTGAGGAAATTTAATCCAAGCATTAACTCGCTATAGACTACAGCCTACTGAGCGAAGCAAAATATGTCTAAATAGCAAACAAGGCATCACTGAAACACAGCTAAATCAACAGAAAAACACTGCAGTGGCAGCACAGTTTTTTTTTTTCCTTTTGAACAATCGCAGTTGGGTTTTCCCAATTGCATCAGTTGCTACCAAAAAATATAATTAGAATTCTTTTTGTCTCATTTTTGGATCAATCTAATCAAAAGTGATACGATTTTCTCTCTCTCTGCAAGCAGTTTAGTGCAAAAATGCCTCATTTGGAGAGATCGAAACGAAACTGACACGACTGCTGTGATAATGTCTTTAAACATACAAGGCTTCAAAAAACCCAGACAGAACTTTTGTAAAATATTCATGTAAAACATCCACACCACATCAGACACGCAGTATATATGTATATAAATATAAATATGCATATGTGTTTATGTGTATATGTGCATTGGTATATGTACATTACTATATATCATATGTGTATATTGTGGGGTTGTTTTTGTTCGTTATCGTTTATTTATCTTTCATTATTCTTCTCAGCCTCTCATGTATTAAGCTGCAGTAATGTGCAAATTTCCCCACTGTGGGATCATTAAAGTTTTATCTTATCTTATCTT